AGCTACTACGGCATGGCGCCTTTGTCGACTGCCACAACTGCTGCCGTGTTTTCGAATAAGCCAGTCGTTCACCTGGTCGAATAACGGGGTGGATAGCAAACTATCGTTTCAGCACTGGTCAAAGTACCAGTTATGTTCACAGGTGAATGTTTGACAGTAGGAACGGCGAGAAAGGGTGATTAATGTTCACAAGGTATGGATACAGAATGGTGTCGGGAAAATGTCGAGGAATAACGTGGAACGGAGGAATGAAACACATGTTCATGTTCGATTAGGAATCAGGCACGATGGGGTCAAGAGAGGGCCTGAATCGGGATAACGGTAGGCGTTTGAAAGGGCAGAGAAACGATACAATTGGGGTCACAACCAACATAGAATCAGCAGATTGGACGCCAGTGACCATTAGGTGTTATGTTGATCACTTTCATGAGCAGTTGTTTTTGACGAGAAGTCATGGCAGGTGAGCATTTTCATTCAGTGGCTTTGATGCCGACAAAAATATATTTGTCTGCGAACGTTTGCGATAATGTCACCTGCATGGAATAACGAGATTAATTTCTATAAATGATATATATCTATAACATCTACCTACTTAATTGTTTGCAGGGAATACGTCTTCCAGAAAGAAGCGGTCCTACAAAGAAGCATTTCTGCAGTGGGGCTTCAATAACTTCGGTGATAAAAATGTTGAGAAACCGCAATGCGTTTTATGCAGCAAAGTGCTCACGGCGGAGAGTATGAAACCTAGTAAATTGAAAGAGCACTTTGAACGAAGCTATGCCCATTTGATAGGAAAGATATTACATTCTTTAGAAGGAAAGAAGCTGCGCTAAAACTTTCGCGCCTGGATACATCGAGCTCCTTTTCTCAGGCAAATGAGGCTGGCCTTGAAGCTTCGTATCGCATTGCGCTTCGAATCGCCAAAAATAAGAAGCCGCATACCATAGGAGAGGACCTCATCAAACCTTGCATAATGGATGCGGTTAAGCTCGTTCTTGGAGAACATCATGCGGAGAAGATTAATACGATATCACTTTCGAACAACACCATCAAAAGTGGTATCGAGGACATGAGCAAACAAATTTTGAACACGATGCTCAACGAAATAAAATCAAGTCCCTTGTTTGCAATCCAGTTAGATGAGTCGACCGACGTAGCGTCCTGTTCCCAACTACTTGTGTATGTTCGGTACCTAAAAAGTGATAGCTTCAAAGAAGAGTACTTGTTCTCAGAATCCTTGAGCACGACTACGCGTGGCGAAGATGTCTTCCGAATAGTAAAGAAGTTCCTCGAGGAAAACATGCTACTGTGGTCGAAGTTAGTGGGTGTCTGTACAGACGGAGCACCAGCCATGTTGGGCGTCCGTTCCGGATTCCAAACATTGGTCAAAAATGTTGCTCCGCACGCTACCTTTAGTCACTGCATCATACATCGTTATGCTTTAGCAGTGAGCACTCATCCACCTGCTTTACTTGACGTGTTAACCAAAGTAGTAAAGATAGTAAATGTCATCCGCGGTAGTGCGACCCACACAAGAATCTTCAAAGAGTTGTGCAATGAATTTGGAGGCAAATTCGACGTGCTACTATTGCACACAGAAGTGCGTTGGTTGTCACGAGGCAGGGTGTTGCACCGAGTGCTTCAGCTTCGAGAGGAAATTGCAATCTTTCTTCGAAGAAAAGAGATGCATAAGGGTAAGGGAAACGAGTTACACGTTATTATAACGGACAGCGTGTTTATTTCGAAACTTGCTTATCTTGCTGATTTCTTTGGAGAAATCAATGCGCTTAACCTCAGCCTGCAAGGGAATATGATGAACATTTTAGTCGCTCAGGATAGAGTAGCCGGTTTCCTTCGCAAACTGCAGCTTTACCAGCGCTCGGTTGATGTTGACGACGTGGCGATATTTCCAGAACTAACGACGGTGCTCGTTGAAAGAAATGAAAAATGCGCATTCACGAATGAAATATCTTGCCACTTGTCATCAGTGATGAATTCCATCAGCAAATATTTTCCTGATTTGGAAACTCGCCAATTAAGTGCCTGGGTGCTAAGACCGTTTACAGTAGCTGAAGGAATATTTCCAGATAATGAATTCGAAATCAAGGTACAATTCCTAGGAATGCGCGAGGACAGCGGATTGAAGGTAGATTTCCAAAGCACGCAACTAGTAACATTTTGGGCAAAGATAGGTGAAGAGTATCCATTACTGTCGGAAAGCGCATTGAGAATATTGATCCCACTTGCAACAACTTATAAATGTGAAAGTGCATTTTCGACAATGATGATAATGAAAACAAAAGCAAGGAATCGAATGAACTTGGAGCACGACTTGCGATGTGCATTGGCCGAAACTGCACCAAATGTACCAGAAATTGTTACCACCAAACAATACCAACCGTCTCATTGATGTATATCGTCTCTTGTTTGCATAGAATTTTGAATTAAAAGTACTGTTTTCTTTCGTTTATTTGTCGAGGGAGATTCCGGATACCGACCACTTCTCGTACTTAAGTCGGATAATTATGTAGTGAGAAGAGGTGTTTCCTTCAATTGCATGAGCACGTGAAACTACATATGACATTTGTTTTTGAACTTTAGAGCGAAATGTGCAATAGTTATTACGTAGTAGTCTTTCGAAAGTTTGGGGGTAAAAGTCTGGTGGGCAACCCCCTTTGTGGGTAACGGCGTCTAAAAGGTTGGGAACCACTGGTCTAGACCATCGGATCCCACTATCCAAGCTGCAGCATTACGGGATCGGAGACCCTCTTTTAAGCTGGATCGCCAACTTTCTACTTCAACGGCAATTAGTGGTCAGAGTTCGGAGCTCTTTATCGGACCCCATACAAGTGGAGTGTGGAGTGCAGCAAGGCTCAGTTCCAGGTCCACGTTTGTTTTTGGTGTTCATTAATAACCTTGCACAAGGAATCGTTTCAAACTTCCTAATGTTTGCCGACGATATCTAGATCTGGCGCAGAATCCAGGCGAACGCCGACCAACATGTGCTTCAGAGTGACTTAGATACAGTGTATCAATGGTCGACCCAAAACTTATTGCATTTCAACGTCAGTAAATGCAAGGTGCTTTCCATCCGACATCAGAGCAGCTACTCATACCGACTCGGAACAAATGCACTACAACAATCAACTGTCGAACGTGACTTGGGTGTCCTGGTTCAAGATGACTTGGGTTGCTCCAGGCAATCCGAAAAGGCCTCGAAGACCGGGAACCAACACGTCAGGCTGTTGAGGCGGGCGTTTGGACAAATAAACAGCTCCATATTTCGACAAATGCTCAGTGCGTATGTTCGCCCCCATGTCGAATATGCAATTCAAGCCTGGCATCCATGGCTGAAACACGACCTTAATGCACTGGAGCAGCCACAACGCCGGGCATCTAAGAACGTAATTGGAATGCGCAATCTTTCCTACGAGGAGAGTCTGCAACGACTGGGGTTATTCAGTGGAAGCTATCGCAGACTACGAGGCGACCTGATTATGAGCATACTTGATTCTGCGAGACCCACATCATGTGTGCCGCCCTTTACTGCGACTCAGCACCAATACAACTCTGAGGGGCCACTCATTGAAACTCGCAGAACAGTACAGCCGTCTGGAGTGCCGCAAAAATTTCTTTTCCATTCGTGTCTGTCACCCGTGGAATGCATTCCCAGAATCCGTCGTCTTCGCACCGACACTAACAGTATTTAAAATACGGTTGGATGACACACTCATTCACTTACACTTTGTCAGTTAGCACTACGTCTCCATCCTACACCTGGAGTTTACCATGGAATTATTTGATGTTAACTGCGGATGCTGTGAATCTAAGCAGATTGCATGACTACTGAGAAAGCAACAATAAGTCCTTATTTTCATATTTAATGTACTAACTGTTTTACTATGATTATTATCATTATTGTTATTTGGATATCCCCACCAACTATTCAACGGGACTTGTTAAGCAAGACTTCATAACCCGTATAAATACACTGCTCATTGTAATCACTTGCTGATTAACAGGCACGTAACACGATTAGGATTGAAGTAACTTAGTGACGGCGGTATATGCTCGTGATCCACTGCCCAGCCACTGATCCGATAAACAAATGGAAAGCATTTCACCACTTGCCTAGTCATAGCCTTACTGCTGTGTGTGTGTGTGCGTGTGTGTGCATTTTTTGACCAACCTCGCCCTACACTGGTGAGGTCAGCGCTCGTTGTCCTCACACTAACCTCCGTTAGTGGTTTACCCTTCAGTCCGTAGTCGTATCGGAATCAGGTTATCCTGTGCTTTGGATAATGAGGTCAGATGAGCCTCTGCGCCAAACTGGCCGTCCGACGATGCAGTTTGCAGTCGGGTCTCCACTTCACATGCGGCCCGACAAAAGGGGCAGAGAGACAACTGTAACACAGCTTACGCGCAGTTTCATTGACGCTTGCACTCCTACTTAGCGTGCCGATTGGACGGGTTCAGCTTAGAGAGAACGCGTCGGATTTCCTTCAGGCGCTCATTGATACAACAAACAGAGATGCCGCTGGGTCTATATTCTCAGACTGTCTGAAGTTCACTGTCGCCTGCCATAGCTTCTGCTAGAAGTGCACGACAAGTCTCATTTCGTCATTCACCACGCTGCTAGCATCGCATGGTAGCAGCAAATCCCCCATCATTAGTCTCACTTCTTGTCTGATAATTTACTTTTATGCTTACTATAAATGCGACGCATGTTCTCTGCCCACAGTCCACACTCATTTAGCCACTACACCCACGTGGCATCCTGTGAGGCTACGTCTGCTTCACTATAATCAAGCGACACGAGAATACTGGCTGTTCGGTTTGCTTGTTGACTTGACAACAACAACCTTCAACATCTGCATCTCTTATCAAATGAACAGTGTTAGGTCGACGCATACACCCTGGGTTTTGTTGCATGGGATGTTACTCCAAAAAGCACCGGCTCCAATTTCTGAATGTTTCTTTTTTTCCTTTTGGTGTTGCAGCCCAATTCTTCTTCATCTAGCTGAGGGCATTTGGACGGAGAGCAAATCAACGAAAGATGTCCATCGCCTTAAAGCAGCCATCGATGTGTAAGCACGTACAATTTCTTCTAACTTTTTATTGTTGTCTCCTGTCGCCGGTCGGTTTAACTCTGATCGACGATTTACTATACTATAAAATTTGCACCCCTATCCCCTATATGGCTGCCTCAGTTGCACTGTCCCTCTCGCCATTCGCTATTAATTTTTTCCTTCCTAATTTTTTTCTTCCAGCTTCGGTGGAATGCTTCAGTTTGAGGGTCCCATTCGGAAACAGACCATTCACTATCTCTTCATTCTGCTGGGTCACCGCTACCCCATCGTAAGTCTGGCCTATTCCTGTCTTCTGCTAGCTTCACGTATGCATTCCGTTTCCCATCCAGCGCTGAACGATCGGTCACGGTGACCCACTCATATTTGATCCGCAATCTATTTCGCAAAACTTTTGTTTCTCTTCCCTCGTGTCCTTCTGCATTGTTTGCGTCTTTACCTTGTAGTTTTTGTTGTCTCCGGCAAACAAACTATTGTGTGTAGTTATAGCATATTTGTCTTTTATCTTGCTACACGGAGGTGATGAATTTTGTCCTCCGGATCCTCCGATATTAACGTTAATATGGTCACATCCGCTTTCGACGCGATCACAGCTATCTGACTTGTTCCCGATCCCAATGTTTCTCATACGCCCAATTCAGTGTTGTCCTAATCACATTGAATATTCACGTCAACGCTGTGAATACTCAGTTTCGCCGAGGGTTTCACCTCTAACAGTCGGTAGCACACCCTGAGCCAGTACTATCCGTCGCACATCGCCTGAAATCACATTTCGTTGTTCAAAATTCAACTTAGTGCCGTTGTTCACACCTACTCGTTGGTCACGAACCTTGCTGGGGAGCACCCTCTCCGTTCGCTTACCCAACTACTAACTTATCTCCAGCTCCATTCCTTGACATATCATTATGTCCAAAGCACACGAATGACTACCGCCTCGTCATTGTCTCCGTCATCTGCCTCAATCTTTTGGCTGTCCATTCGGTGCTCGGGTGCATTTACGTACCGATATCGCTTCATCGTACGGCTCTCCTGTTATTTCTAATGCCTGTACCTTTTCGTGTCACGTTTGTCCCTTAGGTTCGCAAATCTTCCGCCACGAAATTGTATGAGTGTTTGTCAGTCTACGAATTGGCAGAGCCCGATGCCATGGAAAAAGCTCTCAATCTTCTGATCGAAACTATTTGGTGAGTGTATAACTTCGTCTTCATTTCAGTTATTCGACGATGTGCTTTCAGTTGGGTATTTATAGTCGATCCGGAACTTTGGTATAGTTACGTACTTATTCCGACATTTCACTTACGCTTAGAAAACTTTATCATATCATAGTTTGTCAGTAACTCCTTTAACTGTTTGAGACGACTCGCTTCACTTCACCATCACCTTGGAAATGCTGGTTTCCGGGGAATTCTTTCAAGTGTCCAAGCGGCTGGAAGTCACTTGGCACTATGACCTAAGCAGGGTATGAGGATGCGGTCTATAAACTATTGACTTTCCATGTCATACTCATCCCTCAATTAATTACATACCGAAACTTGTGTTTGCTAGAAAATCGGAAAGCTGTTTTGTGAATGAGCAACCCCGAAATTCTCCATTTCGTATACAGTATTACTGATCGGAATGAATATATGTGCATCTAAGTGACCACTGTGGCCCTAGTCGAGATTGCGTGTCATAATACAAATACATCGCGCATACTCCAAAATCCAACAATGGATTTCAAGCCACTGTGTTAGGCGTCACTTGCAGAGCTCGAAGCCTTCGGGATCAAGGCGTCAGTCATCGACCACTATGTGCCTAGTTTCACTCCCAAACCTCACTGCCTTAACCTGAATAGTCCACACATGAGCGAAACCGGTCGGCGAGTGCAGTGTTGGGAACACCGGGACTCCGCGACCACAAATTTTCTCGTGCCCTCACAATTGCAGGCTGATCTTGTATTTCTATGCTGCTAATTATTCCTACCTTTTCTAAAAGGTACGAACTATAGATTGTCCCACCGACTCCTACGATTCGATCATAATGGCACTAGTGAGTTAGTCCAGCCGCAATATAGGCTTATCCCAGGGTTGTTATCTCACTACCAGTGGTGACAACTGTGATCGTCTTCATTTCCGCCCACCACCTATTGCAGAACACTGATCCCGTATGAGAAGGTTAACATTCCAACGGAAACTTAGCTGCAGATCATATCCTTACACTGTAAAATCTCAGCACCGACGCTTCGTTGCTACACTGCCACCACCAGTCGTACAGTGACTGAGTATACCGCTAGATCGCTCCCGTGCCTACACGGATTCGAACCGGTGACCTCTGAATTAGAAGGTGAGCGCGTACTCACATCATCACGTGTACCACAGGCCAACTATAGCTGTGGGGCTCTATTTCACTAACACTTTTGACTCCACTTATTATTACTCCGTCCTCTTCGACAAATTTGCTTAAAAAGGTCTCCCCATGAAATACGTAGTCTTTACTCGAACAGATCAGGTCGTGGCATGGTAGACAGGGACTATTCAGATGCTTTTCCGACAAGTGGCTTTCGTCAAGATTGTCCCAGATTTCTTCAGTCATCATACATGTTGCGATCCTTGCTGAATGAAAACCAGTTGCTTTGGGTTACGTCCTTGACATCGTCATGTCATTTGGCAGTTGCGATGCAGCTCAGGCTACTCTATGTATGTTGGTCCTATCCTACTGAGTACAAAAATTTGTTTCGAAACCACCAGCCACTTGATGAACTATTCTTCCTTAGCACAGCTGGACTAGTGATGTCTGCCATCTGCACTAGCATACACTAGCATCGGTGGGCGTAAAGGTATCAGTAATACGTCGGTACGCAGTACCGACACTTTTCTGCCGCGCAACTGCCAACAGTCGCGCCTGGGCTATAGTGGTCGCCCAGTCCCTTACGCAGATCCGAACCCGCGACCTCCGGATTCCAAGGCAGGTTTGTGAGCCTTTCGGCCGGAGTACGTGGCTGATACATCTAGCCCACGTATTGCGGGGACACGAATTGCCTTCAAGCATCTTCACCACCACCTCAGTGGATTTCCATTTGTTTTGAATCGTATCCACTGGACCACGCTGATGGCCACATGCCCTGTTTTTCCCAAGAGCTCAGCGGTATTCTGCATAAAGATTATCACTTTCGTTAGTTTATGAAATCATGTTTTCAACCATGAGGTATGCGGTCCATTGCAAAGTACTCGTAGTCAGGTTGTCCCCTCAAATCCGAGAATAAGTCTGAACAGATTCCGTTGGTTCCTGCATGTTCTACGTATACCAGCATGCTTTGCTTTGCCTAACCGATCTCTGTTGTTGTTGTTGGTTGGTTGGTTGTTGTTGTTGGTTGGTTGGTTGTTGTTGTTGTTGGTTGGTTGGTTGGTTGTTGTTGTTGGGCTCTAGGTGGACAATAGTTAGTTCAGCATCGGGAAATCAACTTACCACCCATTCATCTAACTGCTACTCAGTCTCAATTTTTATGTTTTTGCCCATGATGCAATCATTCACGCTTTGGGCTAGCGGCCCATGTGCCCCGAGTTCAAGTCCTCACATGACCGTTCTTTTGCGAGTCCGTACATTAACATACTCCGTGAGCAATCGCATGACAACGATGCATCGGCATGTACTATCAGTGTGTCAGTAAAAGAAGTTTTCTCCCCCTGTCCATTGATAGTTGAACCTCTGAAATGCCACACAGGCCTTTTTGATACGCAGTTTTTGATACGGAGTTTCCATGCCACTCTGCTTACGTCAAGGTAGTGCCATAAGCTAGCTGTATCATCACGCTCGAAGACGGCTTTCACGTCAAGAAAAACCACCTTATCCTGTCGTCTGTAAGTGTGTCTCGATTCCAGCAGTTGACGAAGAGCAGATATATGATCGATACAATTACGGCCAGGACCGAAGTTGGTCTGGCTTTCAGTGATTTGGCTCTCACAGGGACCACTGAGTCATTGAAGAATGATATACTTTGGAGTTTGAAGACGATGAAGAGAAGGCTGAATTCTCGATGGTTTTCGCACAAAGTTTATCGGATCATTTTGAAGATAGGTACGGTAGTCTAAAGTCATCTCTTCATTGTCCCAAATCGTGCTAAATAGAAAATAAAGTTCAGTCAACAAAGTGTCACATCCATCTTTTAATAAAGATGGAAGAAGTCCGTCGGGTCCAGGAGCCTTGCTTTGTTTCAGCACGGCAAGCCGAAGTCGGATTTTCGAAAATGGGACGTGTGACACTAACCCATTTTTTGCTGGCGACTTTTAGAGAATTTCTTATAGTGTGATTTAAGCTCTTGAATTAACGCAGTATTTCTAATTTTTGTGACAGAAGTTCCGGAAAAAACACTAATTGTTATGATTGCGTAGATGCCTGATAAGATTGTCACTGGCACGATTGGAGCACGGCTACGAGAACGGCTTGGAAGGCTAGCCAATCTTACGGATTTGCGCTGACGTGATGGCGTTAGCTTAGCCCTTGGTACGCGCTGGTGAGACGGGAATGGAGCGAGCGTGAGAACGATCATAGCCACATATATTCGGATGGACGCTGAACCCTCGTAACAGACGAGGGTACGCACGCGAGAGGGAGTTACGGTAGACGAGCGCAGTGGCTTAGACGCGAACGCTGCCTGGCTAAGGACGCACACGAAATCACGTGACCGATCGACTCCCAACTAAGGCGGAGAGGAAGCAAGACAGGTGGTTCTCTGAAGGCTCTTTTACGACCAACAAAGAGCGAATCACCGCCAATGCTATGGGTTATTAAGTTAGTGCAAATAGCTACCACGACCGGGGTACTTTGCAAAAGAACATTGTCAACAGGTGCTCAGTTGTGCCGCGTCTCGGAGTGGCTGAAAACTGCTACGTTGTGGGGAGGAATTGGACCCCGCTTTCCACAGCCATTATGCCGGAGTTTTCTGGCGTGTTTTTGCGGGGATATTTGACGGGCCTGCAACACCTCCCTTTGAAGAGAAAGCGTACCGCTTCTGACGAGGATTGACTTGGCGGAATTTCGGCAACCTCCGGATTCTTCTTGTTCTTCGACAATGAGCGTTCTCCAGACGCGGCGGCGATTGAGCGGCTTCGACCGTGGTCTCTCGTTGGGTAGCTAATCCAAAGGTATCCAATCGTATGTGCAACGGCAGGCGCACAGGAGTGTTGACTGGCGTACTGGGTTCTCCTTGGCACGGTCTAACTTGATTACGATGGCGAACCCACATGTCATCACCTACGGAGACATGTCCCCTCGCCTGGCTGTCACTGTTACTTTGATCCAGCGTAGATGACCTGCACGATAATAGCGATCGTAGACCGGGGCTCCAACAACGAGTTATTTGTGCTTGTTGCAGGCACTAAAGTGATTAGGTGGCTTATCAGTCGGAATGAGAGCTTCGTTGCTGGTGTGTAGCTTGCGGCCCATCAATGCTTCAGCTGGTGACTGGCATCCTTTCGTTGCTGGATTCGGTGTGGACCGGTACGAGAGCAGTAAGGCTTGAAGACACTCATCCGCGGTCCCCTCCCCGCGAGATTTCAATAGCACCCTCTTGAATGTGTCGACAGGTCGCTCCGCTTGACCATTGGAGTGGGGATGGCAAGGCGGTGTGCGGAGGTGTTAGATCCAGTGTCGACGACAAAAGTCTTGAAAATGGAAGACGTAAACTGGGTACCGTTGTACCGTTAATCTAAAAAACTTTTAGGACAATATAGCAAACCCACCGCATGCAAGCACGCGGTTAGTAAATCGAATGCAACGTACCTGCAAACGCTGCGCCGGTTCTGCCTACCTTCTCTGCAGGACTCGTCGTCGTTTCGGTGTTGGCCCCGAGTAGCGTCGCTCATGCCTCACTAGGCCTGTCTGACCTAGGCAGTCGCGACCGCTATGGTGCTATAGCACCATGTGCTCGATGTCGATGGAGTACAACCCATCGGCGCCTGTCGCTTCCGCACTTGCCGCTTCTTCTCCGCATACATGAGGGCTTTCTCTTGCACCTCGGCAACCGCCTTCCTGATCAAATCGCGCCATGCACGCCGATTAACCGCCTTCGATTCCCATGACCTGCAATCAAGATTAGAACGGGAGTGGCTCACTTGGATCATGTTCTGGTAACGTAACTTTCGTTTCCCCACATGCCGCTTCCCAATACTCAGCTGACCATATAATAGTTGTTTCAGTATCCGCGTCG